ATGTTACTTCTTATAGTTAGAAGAACTCTTCTCATAGCTATTAGCAAACTCATCTTGAAAATGAAATTAATATTTGCTGAAATTTTTCAAGTGATATGATTAATTTAAAATGATTTTTAAAATGTTGTTGTTATTGAGCATTATTTCATAGAATTTAATTTACATTTATGTCATGTATACAGTTCATGAGATATACAAAAGCATAATTTAGTAAATAATTATGTGTTGATGATAACTTATTTATACATCTCACAAATTTAACTTGAAAAAGTTATAAACAAGAACCTTTCTTAAGTTAATTTATATACAGTCAAACCTTGATGTAGCACCCTCCTAAACAGTACAATGCTCACAGAATGCCACTAAATACTTGCAAATGGATTTTCCCTATAAATATTAAATACAGAACTCTTCAGTACACTTAGGACCCCATAAAATAAATTATCACTAATGCATAGTAAAGGTTAAACCACAATTTTAGTATCAGGCTCTTCATGAGCAAACTTGTTGCACTTTAATCAAATTCATATGCATTAAAATGAAGTATAGAATAAGATCTACACAATTATAATCAATGTATTCTTGCTGATTCATGTATTAAACAATCAGTTGCTGGTACATATGTCTCTGTCTGTCAAAATATGTTAATTCAATACAATGCATTTATGACTTGTGTTTCAAATGACATTATTATAAAATCAGGTGGCTTTCAAATTTGTTTTCAACCTTGTATATATAATTCTTATTGTATGATATATTTCCATTTAGTATAATTCTCAATTTAATATCAATTTCACAAATGGTGGAACTAAATCAAAGTTTGACTGTAGTTGATATACAGTTCTAAAAATTAGAATGTTAATTAAGAAATTTGTTGAAATTTTAAAACTTGATGAAGTCTGAAAATCTTGTAAATTATCATTTTAAATTTTACTAAAAAATAATCAGTTAAACCAAATTAAAATGTTTAATGATAAATCTACTACATAATTTCTGGTAAAATATTTTTACAAACCAAATACAAACCTAGATTTCATCAAGATTTAAAAAGAAATTTTCCAAAACTTTTAAGTCATTCATTTAAAAAATTGTTTGTTAATATAATTATCCCATAAACTAATTTATCTAATATTCAGTTATTTGTACTTTTATCAAACTTGTATCTGATTAAATATCCAGATTATTGAATTATTGATAAAAGTACAAAAGTAGCTAACAGTATAATTACAATATCATAATTTTAACAATAATTCAATCTACTAGAAAACATTAAATTAATTTTGTCATATTAGAATTTACTAAAAATTGTATATCTGAATTGTATGCTTGAAATTAATTATAGGAAAGAGATATTGTGTTCTTAATTTAATTGCAATATTGAAATAAATATATCTAAAAGTCAAATTTTCAACAAGTAAATTTGAAATTTGTCACTTTTCTGTTAAAGCTAACAGAAAAGTAATGAATTTCACGAAATAATTAAATGTCTAAAATAAATGTTAATGAAATGTTTAACCATTTATTTAAATTACATAATGCTCATAAAATAGAATTAATTACTAATAATATTTCTTGAGTATTTGAAATGTGTGTGCAACAGACATTCAAATTTTATTATAAAATTCCTATTTAATTTCTACTAATACATATGTATATATATATATAGTATTTAATGAATCACATTAATAGATTAAAAGCAAAACCTTATATAGAAAGATTATTATTAGAGTATAAATAAAAATAATGCAATTACAAAAGTCCAAAAAGGTTTTAAAATATTGCATAAGTTCCAGAAGAAAATTGCATCTCATGAAAACAGAAATATTCAACAAATACATCAAAAAATTATTGTAATAAATATATTAAAGAAAAACAGTGAAAAAAATGTAAGGAAGATATGAAAAGTTTCAAAGTAAATAAATATAAATGAATAGACAAATCAATGAATTTAATTTAATGATGAAAAACAGTTATGACAAACACTTCAAATTACAGAATATTTTAGAGATATTCCTTAACTTACAATATTCAAAAATTAATTTAATATTGGTTTTTGTTCACTTTTATGAATCTTAAACTAAATTTTCAATAACTTAATATTTTCCCCTTTTTTCAATTACCTTAATTATAATGCAAAAACATCAAGTATGTTATGATGATAAATGACAACAAGTTCATTGAATTTGAAACATAAGCTACTGTACTTATGCTATAATATACAAAACTTAAATCTAAGTATGTGATTCTTAATTCAAAAGGTATAAAGAATCAACAGTTTAAATTTTTTATCGTAAATCTGAAAAAATTAATATATATATCATTTTTGTTATTTTGAGTTGATCAAAAAGTTCGTTCTTGATGTAATCACTGCATTAATTCAACAGAACCCACATCACATCATCAGAAAAATTACAGATATACTACAGGATAGATAACACTCTTATCTAATCTGAAGTGATATCTATCAGCCAGGGATTAGTTGTTGGATATTTACACAACTTATAAAAATATCATGCTCTGATGCTTAGGTAGCACATCAATTAGCAAGAGAAACCTACTATACCTATAAATATAGGATTATTTAGTTAAAATGCATACAAATACAACAAACCTATAATTAAGAAAAAAAAGAGAAACCTGATTGAATATGGCTAGAATTTACCATTGAATTGTAACAAGATGGATACCTTTTCAAACTAACTAATTACTGGCAATTAAAATGGATTATTTACAATTAATGTTTGCAGCAAAAAAAGAAATAATGGAGAAAACCAACTGAACTCTTGCAATGCAATCAAAAGTCAACTGATATTAAAAAAGGCTATGCTGAAAATATAGTAGGACTGACAGGAAATTATCTACTATGAATTGCTATCTCAAAATAAGACCATTAATATAAAGAAGTACTGTTCCCAGCTTAATCTAAATGCAGTCATTAAATAAAAATGGCCAGAATCAACAAAAAGAAAATGTGTGACTTTCCAGTAAGACAAAGCTAGACCACATGCATCTTTAACTATTTTGAAAAATTGATTTTTCAAATTTGGATGGGATATTTTGTATCTCCCTACATTCCCTTAATCTTGTACTTTCATATTACCACTGCAACTATAGGACAATATGGAAAAAACCATTTAAACACTTTTTTGAAGAAAAATCTCCAAAATTTTTTTTTGTGAGATAATGGGTCTACCCCACAGATGCACTACAATAATAGAAAACAAAAGTGCATATATAATTTAACACAATTACTTTAATTTTTAAAATATGAGTATTATTTTTGTCTAAAAAAACAAACTTTTTCATCAGTTCAATATATTCATATTAAATCATCAAAATGAATCAAATAAAACTAACCTAATAACAAGATAAGATCAGAAATGGAATTCTTTAAATAAATAATTCAAAATATCATTCACTAACCTTAATTATCAGTTAAAAGTTTTTCACTCCAAAACATTTTCAACCTTTCTAAGGCCATCCTTAGTATATAATTTCACTATACAGTTTGAACACAAAGATATTAAAACAAATTTTAGAACACCAGTCTTTACAAATATCAAATCACTTTCTTCAAACATTCAAATTGAGGTTTGTACTCACATGTTTTAATATTACAAACAGAATGTTTTCTAAGACTCAAATTCCTATCAAATGTTGATATATTTCAAATTAAAGGCAAAAATAATTTTAAATTTTAAACAATGTTCAGCATAAACTGTATAAATGTATGGATTCCTAGCAAAAATTACATTGAGATTTTTTCATAACTGTTCAACATTATCTCTAACCACAAATATTAACTTGTAACTGATTTAAAATATTAAACTAAACTAAATATCAAATTAAAAACTAAATAGTGCATAAAAAAATATATTTACAGATCTTGGCATCAACTTTAGTAGCCAAAACAAATAACAAGCATTAATATTTTCTACATTAAAAAAAAAAATTAAATACATTTTAAATATATTAATGTTTTCTTGTTATCAACTTCATGATTAATCTACATTAATTTTACTAATCATATGAATTACAATGAATGAGACAACATATAATATTAATCTTATTAATAAAACAAAAATATACTGTTAGAAATAGTTAAACTTTTATTCTTTCATACTACTTTTTGTAAGAACAATAGTATGAATGAATTCATTTGAATATAAAGTAAGGGTTTCTTTTTTCTATTAAATATCTACCAGAATTCATTCAATTTACTAGCTGAACAAAACTTTAACTATTATTAATGTAAGTTAAGAATTATCCATACAAAAAATTCTATTATTAATTTACTTGAAACTTTATTTTAAAAGTAAATGTTAAAATAAAGCTTTCAAATTTTACTTATCAGTACAAAATTATTGCATATACGAGATGTTTATTTTAATACCATATCACATAATATTTTGATAATTAACAATTTTTAATCTAATCTATTATTTATGCAGAGTATTCAAACTGCTTAAAAAGATATATCTTTTACTTATTTCACAAATTAAATAATTTGATTTAAATTTCAAAAATACATTAAATAGTAATTTTTAATTTAATAAAATTAATTTTAAGCTTATTATTTAAAACATCATAGAAGTATTATATAATAGCAAAACACTTCAGCATATTTTGAAATTATTAACACTTTTCCATAGTGGATGCAGATTAAAATTACATTTGTTTTTTGTTTGTAATACTGATTTGTTAAAATTTCAATATTTTTAAATATTGAAATAGTGATTAATTTTAACATATATACAAGACTTTTTGCAACGACAAGATTTGATTCTTTTCTATCAATATACAAAAACAATTAATATATGGTTAAAGCAGATTGTTCTTTCTGCTTTATAATTTCTAATATTTATGAAATTTAATGATCTTTTTTACAAATGATTAATAATTATTATGATCACAATGAAACAAATATACTGCTATAATGATTAAAAATATTATTCCAAAATGTATACAAATAAACCTATAATTTTAATTTCACTATTATACTTGTATAGATGGCAAATCTATTTGCATATTCAAATAGAAGTTTTTTTTTTTAATTTAGTTATAAGGTACATTAATTTTTTTTTACTTTATATATTAGTAAATAAATCTAATATTTCTAAAATAAGAATATATAATAATTTTTGTTCTAATGTAAAATTCGTTTGGTACAAATATATGACAAGGTAATTCAAACTACTTTTTGTTTTTGTTTTGCACTTTCACCAAATTCTTTGAAATAAAATTTTATTGATTTCAAAACATAATTCTTTCTTAAAGAAATAACTTCTAAAATGAATTGAAAAAAATTTTTGCTCATAAACCTGTAATCTGTGTAAATGGAAGCAAATCTTTACACACAACTATTATTATAATTAAGAAAAACTTACATAAAATATTTATATTTTATTATTTTAATTGAAACTTAAATTATGTTTATTAAATTTATGAACTGAATTAATACTGATGAATTCATTAATTGCATTATTACAATATTAATTAAATAATACAATTTTTAATGTTAGATGAAGTTAATGAATAATCCTAGTGTCAATTTTTTCTATATAAGCCTAATTTTATTTAAAAACTCTATATTTAATTAACATATAGTACAGTACCTGATAGTGGGGAAATTTCTAAATTATTAGATAGGAAATTCCATAAAAATTCTAATTTCAGTAAATGTACAGTACTATAGATTCCTACAGACTTTTTCTTGAAAATTTTATAAAATTTAAGAGAAATATATTTAGTAAAATTTTTACTTGACATCAATGCTAAAATTCTGAATAGTACAAGTATTTTTCAATAAATTTCTTTTAATCTTTTGGAGCACCATTAATTGTTATAATAACTTTTCTTGATCCTACAAAAAATTCAGAACAACATTATTATATTAAACTTTAAAATTTCTAAATGATTTGTTCTATATTTCTAAATTCTATAAAATATAATACTTAAAAATTCATTATAAAATTACAGTAGAGCATCAATTATCCGACTCAATTAGGGACTGGGGTTGGTTGGATAACTGAAAAAAAAGATAACCGAAAAGTATGAAAAAAATACATTATTAGTATAGTATATTAGTATATCCCATGTAATTAGTATATTAATATATCGCTATTAACCTACTTTGTGTTGAATTTTCATCGATGTTAAATCTAACAAATTTTTTAAAAATAATAATTGTTGCTATTGTATCGTTAAAAATTATTTTATTGCTCACAAAACAAACAACCACTCATAATTAGAAAATTAAGCCTTGTTTAAATACTGGCCTCCCTTTCATGGTCGAGCCAGTGCTGTCAGCTAAAACACTCAAAAATTTAACAAAAATAATATTAAAGTAGCCAAGACAGCCAAATATTGTAGTGCCACATCACTAGCGGACATTTGAAATTTGCAGACTAGAACGGTCGGTTAACCGATGTGACGGTTGATCGGGGGTCGGATAATTGATGCTCTACTGTATAAAGTAATGAAAATTTATAATTATACTCAAAATATGAAATTTTACTTTACTAAAGATAAAATTAGGATCAGATAAAAATAACTGAAATTTAATTTTGTGTTACAGTAATACAAAAATCAAATATATATATCATCATAAATTCAAATTGTCCAATTTATTTCCAACTATAATTTATATAGGTTCATCACTGATTTTTTGGCAGTCTTTTAATCAAGTCAGAATAATGAAGGGAACATTTAATTTTTTTACTGTCAGATTTCCTCACTAATTAACTATAAATAATATGATTATAACACATGTTCATTTAGATTGTCTAAATTATATTTGTTGTCCACATTTAATACATACATAATTTATGATTCTAGTAGTTCATAGTGCTTAAGATACTTGGGTAAGAATATAATTAGTGGTTCAAAATAATTATTGAATTTATTAAAACTAATCTGACAAGGCTTTGGAACAAGAATAATCTATACATATTATATTATATATTATATATAATAGTCTTTTTCCAAAGCAAACAAAAATTTGAAAAACTTTTGTTTGCTTTAGAACAAGATTGGAATCATGCAAGAAAAATAGTCATTCACTGATTTTTCTTGCATAATTCCGCATACATTTTATTTTAAATTATTTATATTAAAATTTATAAACTATAAAAATGATTTAAATATATTTACCTGCTCTGTTTCTGTGTTCACAAAGCCATATTCCTTGCCAAGTTCCTAAATTCAGTTTGCCATCAGTAATAGGAATAGTAAGACAGGACCCCATAAAACATGCTTTAATGTGAGCAGGCTAAAATAACAATGTAATATGAAATGAAAATAAAACATTAATAAATAAAATAAAAATATCCTGATAAAAATTATGTCGTCTATTATTATATAAAAGATAAAACAATTTAAGTATAATTATAAGATAAAAGAACTTTTAAATTAATTTTTAGCATATGTTATCTATATAACTTGAATTTTGTTATTATTATTATTTTGCATAAACTGTAAATTTGACTAATAGACTATTTATGCAGTTTCTGCCCCACAGAAATCGAAGCCTGTAAAATTCAGTGAATTTAATCAAAAAATCAAAGCCAGTAAAAATGTAAATATAAAAAAAAGTCAAGAGTAATTATATAAAATTCAGTGAATGTCATTTATTATAAATATGTAAATATGAAAAAAGTCAAGAGTAATTATATAAAATAATGATTAATTAACAAACTCAACGATGTGCGCTTAATGTGCATTCCCACAATCTTTCATACCTCTGTATACAAATTTTAAATCACTCATGTTGTTTAAATCCTTATCCATTATTTTTTATTGAATCAATCAGGTAGAAAGACTTCCAATTCATTCCATTCAGTGTCCATGAGAACTACTAACTTTTTTTTCTCCATAGCAAGTGGATACTATTTTAACATAACAAATAGGATATTCAAAGATGACCAAGACAAAACCTTTCTCACTTGTTTCTAGCCATTTATACACGAGTACGAACATTTTCGGCCTTCTTCAGGTATACTGTGGTCTGTTAAAGCGTCGGTTGGTAGAAATTTAAACGATGTCAATGCTTACATAATTATCGTCTTACTAGTGATGTCATATTCATAATCAATTTGCAAACTCGTTTAATTTCTCTGTTGGAGTATTTTGAAGATTACCAATATTGTTTAGTTTTTTCAGTGTCTCCATTTATATAGGAAAAAATTTAATTAATATAATTTATTAATATTGAAATATTACATTTTAAAATTTTATACAAGAAATTCTCAACATCATCTGCTTCCTCATGGGACAGATATTTTTCTGTAGTTCTAACTGTAATTATCTTCTTTCTCTTTTTTTAAAGAAAATACTGATTTATCATTGATAAATATACCTATAGATACATCTAATAATGGTACATTGCTTGCAAAATAAATCTTACTAATGAAACCATCAGATTCTAACACGTATTTTCTATCATAATTTTTTTTATCACTATCATCAATAGGAAGATCACCTAGGGTTAAATAAAATACTGCATCTTCAGCTGGTTTAGCTAAATTCAGAAAACCTCTTAAGATGAATGAATGGTTACTTGAAGCAAATAAACCATTTTCTGTCTTTTTAATTATATTGTTTGGATTTTCATCAATTTTGAAATAATTTTCGAGTTACGATTTTGTAACTGCATCCGTGTCTATAATTAGATTTTTTAAATTAGTTATTTTTTTATTTTTTGCATCAAACACTTCATCTTTTATGGTTGAAGCATTATTCACTAAATATCTTCTATTCACAACATTTTTATCTTCCGTTGGATCATCAACATTACCAACTCTTTTGTTTTTTGCATTGAAAGCACCATTATATATTTTCAGACATCTACTATCTAATGTATGAAGTTTTTTACTCATTTCTGTTATGAAATTATTAACATTTAAATTAAAATCATCAATATTTTTTTCTGAATTAGTTTTATCTGTTATGTGATCACCTTCTAATATTTTTAATTTATTAGCATTTTCTTTTGCAAAAGCTTCAAAATCTTTATTTAATTCATTATTTTTAATTTATGTTCTAATTTATCATCAATATATTTCTTGGCTGCAGCATTGTTTTTGTCTATTGGATGTTTACAATATTTTAAGATCTTATTTTGCATATCATAATTTCCATCATACGTTAATTTGAAACCATTACCTGGAGGACTAGGAGGACTTCTTTTACTTCATTGTAATAATGACCAAAAGGAAACCAAGCCATTTAATTAGTTTAAAGTTTTAGTTTCAAAAGTCTTGTTGTACATATTCATAAATCCTTTTCTTTTTTCGACTAAAACGAAATAAAATCTATATGATTTAGGCAGGCATTTCCCTCAAATGCCAAAAGAATTCAACTTTCAAATTATCAACATTATTATAAGAGGGATGATTGGAAACATCGAAATGAATGATAGGATACATAGTTTGTATAACTTACTAAACAACCAGACTCTGTGTTATTAGTATTTAATCCCGCCGCTAAAAAATCTGAACAATATCTCAAATAATCTAATTCTCCGGGTTTAAAACTAACATTATAATCTTCTGTTGGATATTGAAATTTTGAAAATATTTGCTATGTATTTTCCTTTCTGTTCTTCATCTTCATATATCTTTGGTTTGAAACCTAATATCTCATGGAGTTTACCTTTACTCAGATCAATTTTATATCCGGGTTCTAAATGAATTATAAATATTGTTGTTGCAAAACGAATTCCAAACTTTATAGGAGGCTCATTTATTCCAAAGAATTTTACTAAAAAATTATTTAGTTCTTGAAGAGTGTAATTTCCATTTTCTATCGTTACGTCATACCACTTTGTTTTATCAAAATATCTAAAGGTATTGTTATTAAATTTTTCATCAATATTATGTCAAGAAACCCACATAGACATTGATTTCAGAGCTAATTTTGAACTGTTTACAGGTATTGGATTTTTAAACTCGATTGTAAAGTCTTCCGATTTATCAGCATTTTTCAAATCTAAGACTGTTAGTTTCATTTATATAAAACAAAATTCTCATTAAACTTGCTCAGTTCTTGCATAAATGAGTATTAAACTTCAATGGGAGATTTACCTTTATTTCTTTCTACAATGTATTTCATACAAGGTGTGACAATTTAAATCTGGGACTGGTTGTGTAGCACTGCAGTGTCAGCATGCAGAAACTTGTCTAAGCTTGTCATAATAGTTCAACCATATGCCTACTTGTCTGCAAAGCTTTGTTTATGTCTCGTAACTTGTTAATTTTTCTGTACTCCATTCACATACTGCTATGAGAAAGTGCTGTCATGTTTTTGCCATGGAACAAATAGCGAACATTAAGTTTTGTTACAAGTTGGGTAAAAGTGCAACAGAGACATATGCCTTCATCAAGCAAGTTTATGGGAATGATGCCCTATCCCGTGTTTTCGAGTGTATGCTCTCGTGTTTTTGAGTGGTTTGCACATTTCAGGGATGGTCGGGAAGACCTTGAGGATAATGCTCGCCCTGGATGACCTCAATCAGTTCGAACACCAGAAAATATTGAAAAAATCAGAGACTTGCTGCAATATGACCGTCGAATGTCTATTCAAATGATAGCGGAGACAACTGGTATCAATCTAGAGACAACTCGTCGTGTTAGGCCTCAGTTTGCAGTAAGAGGAAGCTGGGTACTGCTGCACGACAATACCCGCCCGCACACTGCGACTGTTGTCAAAGAGTTTTTGGCCAAACATGGCATTGTAGAGTTGAACCACCCTCCATACTCTCCAGATTTGTTGCCTTGCAACTATTTTTTGTTTCCTAAAATCAAAATCACATTGAAGGGATGAAGATTCAATGACCTGGAGGACATACAGTGCAATGTGACCAAGGAATTCAGAGCTGCCAACGGAAGTGACTTTGCTGAGTGTTTCAAGAACTCGTACAAGCGTTGCGAGAAGTGCATTGCCCTCCAGGGGGATTACTTTGAAACATATCAAAAGGGTTTTTCATTATATGTTCTTTGTGTCCTTTTATTACCTGGAATTTAATTCTAATAAAACACACCTTTAATAATCCAGCAAATAAAAATTAATAATATAATAACATTTTCAATCGTTTCTTAACAATCTTCTTCAGAAGAAGATCGTTAAGAAACGATCGAAAACATTATTATATTATTAATTTTTATTTGCTGGATTATTAAAGGTGTGTTTTATTAGCAATATATTTATCCAGTTCGTTCATTATACTGGAATTTAATTGTCACACCTTGTACAATAGTAACTAAATCTAACAGACATAGATTCTGAAGAAAACTAGAGTTATATCTTATTTCTTTTTTAGATGTTTTTAAATATTTTATGATTTCTTTTGGAATTCTCTCTCTTTTCAATCTTACATTTTTTAACTTATATTCACCAAAAGGATATTTAGGATCATTATAATAACAAACCCAGTGTGTGCCATCTCCAGTTGAAACATCTAAATTAATTATACCATTTTCAAATTTTCTAATTGTTTTCAGTAATAGATCAACTGTAAACACACCTCTAAAACCTTTTTCGTTTTTTATAATATCATTTATCATCTCGTTGGATATTCCCAATTCTGAATACTCCTTTCCCTAATTTGAAATTTGGGCATATTGGACCTAAAGGGCCTTGGGAAAGGAGAAGGCATTCAAATTTTTTTTTTTATTACATCCTGATCCAGTTACTGTATCTAAAGCTTTTTTAACTCCCCATCCTGCAGTGCCCAATAAGGTTTCCGTAGCCAAAGTAGTTAGAATAGAAATTAAATATGGTAAGATGCCTCCGTTCCTTTTTAATTGCATTCTACTTATTTTTATTCTCTTTCCTTCATTAATATTTTTTATTTGAGTTTTTGTTAAAACCATATCATGATTAGGAGGTTTAGATTTATCTATTTGTAAATATATTTCTTCACCATTCTTAAAAGCTGATTTCAATTTATTTTTTTGAGATTCACTGAGATAAAGTCTAGTCTTAATATAATTACTCATTTATTTAAATAAAAATTTTGAATAATATTCTTTCACTGTATCAGCTGTTATTTCTCCTGAATTTAATAATAGATCTAGAATTTCAACAATTTTATTATATACTTTTTTTATCTCCACCTAACAGCTTATCAGTTAATTTTTCTAATTCACTAACTAATCCTTCTCCAATAATTTTAAATGATTGTGAAGCAGACTTTAAAACTTTTAATTTTTCTCTACAAAGTTTAAATAAATCTAAATCAGAATGATACATATTTAACTCCTCTTCTAACAC